GTAGTTGTTGATATTATTATTACTATTATTATTATTATTATTATCATCATCATCATCTTTTTTTTATTATAGTAGAGGGTTTTACGGCGCTCGCAACTGCATAAGGTCATATGAGCGCCAAGGGGTGGGTGTCGACAGAGATGTCTTTACAGTGAATCATACTTACTCTGCTCACCTCTCTAGCTTCAACAGCACAAGGTCTGCTTCAACTATCAAGGCACCTCGGAAATAGCAGGTCACAAGAGTGTGACAAACATACAAAAGAAGTAGAGGAAAATGACAATAGTAAGGATAAGGAAAGAAAAAGCAGCAGTTCCCAGTGGTAGATCAGACACAGTTATGAGCGTGACATGAATCAGCCCATTTACAATTCTACTGTGCTTGAACGAGAATAAATGTCCCCCCTTTGGGAATGGCCTAAAGACACTACAGTCAGTGGCACTGCCCCGGGGGGAGATCATCATCATCATCATTATTAAGACATACTAAAAAGACAGACACGAACAAGCGCACACAGTATTTTGACTGTAGACCTGAGGCAGTGCAGCCACTCGTTACAAGAACAAGCGTTCACGTTTGGAGGTTTACCTCCACATACTTCTGCGTCATACGACGTCCGGCGATGAAGAGAACCACACCGGCCACCAAGGAGAGCACGGCTGCGGTGACATCGAGGCCAAACGCCCAGTCCAAGGTAAACATATCGTTCAGCATATCTTTCAGCACTGGCGGCATTTCTTCCATCCTCTTGGGCACGTTGTTACCGTCCGCCCAAATTTGCCAGAACTTGGAGGCAAAGATAATGTTGCTGAGAAGGACGGCGCACCCTGATGATCAAGTAATGAGGGAGTTTAGTTTAGATTTTGTAAGAGTTTTAGTTTTAGTAAGAGTTTAACGGCACTTGCAACACAATACGGTCATATAAGTGCCGAAGAATAGATGTGTTACAAGAGAGTAACATACCCCAAAAAGGAGGAGAGATAATGACGATAGATGTTTGATAGGAAAGAAGGATCAAACCACACCAGAGCACCCGCCAACCACCCACTAAGAGTTCTACGAGACTTGCAAAACTAAAAGGTCTTAATATAATAAGTGCCAAACATTATACATGTAGGTGTTACGAGATAAGGACGATAGATGTTTGATAGGAGAGAAGGGGCAAGCAACACCAGAGATTGTGACTACCAACACTCATAAAACCGTGGACAGCACAAACGTCTCCACCCGCCACAACGGCAGTGCTACTGACCCTACCACATCAACATAACGGCAGTGCTACTGACACCACCACATCAACATAACGGCAGTGCTACTGACTCTACCACATCAACATAATGGCAGTGCTTGACGCTAACACATCAACATAACCGCAGTGCTACTGACACGGCCACATCAACATAACGGCAGTGCTTGACGCTAACACATCAACATAACGGCAGTGCTACTGACACTACAACATCAACATAACGGCAGTGCTTGACGCTAACACATCAACATAACGGCAGTGCTACTGACACTACAACATCAACATAACGGCAGTGCTTGACGCTAACACATCAACATAACGG